TTTTTTAAGATTTTATTTATTTATCTTTAGAGGGGAAGGGAAGGAGAGAGGGAGAGAAATATCAATGTATGGTTGCCTTTCATGTGTCCCCTGCTGGGAACTGGCCTGCAACCCAGGCATGTGCCCTGACTGGGAATCGAACAGTGGTTGTTTGGTTCGCAGGCCCACACTCAATCCACTGAGCTACACCAGCCAAGGCTTGTTTTCTTTTCTGTTTCCCCTCTTCAAAGGTCTTGTTCAGAAATCACTTCCAATCTCTGTGGAGTCCTTAAATGACTTCATTGCCTACTCACTTATCCAAACTCAGCTCTCTCAACAGAACATTCCTGTCACTCAGAAATGCTAGAAATAAGTAACTTAAAATTAATCAATATTTATTGAGTACCTAGTACATCTAAGAGACTGTGTTAAGTAATTAGGGACATATATCGAAATATCATAAGAATAAGCATCAGCCCTCAATGAGCAGCTATGCAGTTGAACATTCATCCACACAGAACCAGCTGTATCAAGTACCACAGTGGGGAGGCCCCTGCCAGGGAGATAATGGCTCCTGACTACCCAATATAAAGTTAAACATGAAACGTGTAGCTACGGTTTTGTCTTTTTTAGAATGAAACAAGAATTTTGAACTATTCTGTCTGGTGCACTGTAAATCAGTGACTTAGAAATGGAGCCATTAGGGTATCATCTGCTTATAACTTGGGAGAGGACCAGCAGAATGTTATTCTGGCTGCAAGGCAAGACTGTCAAAATGACTGTCCTATTTTAATTGGGGTGAAACAGCTACTCTTACTATTATGGGGCTCTGGGGTATGAACTCCTATCAGTGCTTGGGGGCGAACGATCACCTGAGGCTACAGAGAGAGTCTATCATTTTTACATATTTTTAAGGCTACTTCTTTGCAACTCATTACAAGATGTTGAACACTGAAATCCTTTCTGCACAGTGAGCTGCAAGCAGCCAACATACACCTTTTTGCATGACCACAAAAGAGTCTCTTCTTCTCATCTCTCAGTTTATCATATTTGACTATAATTTGATTGTTGTTCCAGAATAATGTGTTCATAAATGTCAGACTTAACTGGCCTCCCAAATTTATCTCTTCAGTAGGGGAAGGCTTTCTCCCACCCTAACTCCACCCCCTGCCTTTTTTTTTTAACCGAGGGCAAATTGGCCCTTTGAAAGGAGTTTTATAGCATTTCCTGCTAGAATAATTTGCCAACCTTCCCCCAGCAACTGACTCCACTTGCAAGTCTCTTAATCGAGGAAACAGGTGAAAACAGAGTGTCCTCCTGTCTGCAAACCAACCTGCCTTCCCTCCTCTACATCCAGAGATGTGCTCTGGTCCCACCCACGTCTTTTTCTTTTGCTTCAGACTCTCTCTGTCACCTTGCTAAGGGGTTCCCCACCTCCTTCATCCCCCATCCTCCTTTATTAGAAATCTTTCTTTTTCTCCTCGATTGTTTCCACCAGCAAAGCATATTCTCTTGTCTCTTAGGAAAAGGAAAACGGTTCTTCCTGAGGCCACATCTTCTTTGGCTGTTACATGTGTAGCCACTGCTCCTCCCAGGGACGCTCTGCCTTCCTTCAACTGCACCCATTTCATCCGAAACTCACTTTAACTAGACTGGAGCTGCTCTTGTAAAAATTATGAACTTTATACTTATGGACAAGATGGAGGTGTAGTAAACATGGTTTGTCTCCTCATGCAACCAAAGCAAAAATTACAAGTCAACTACTAAACAACTATCAACCAGAATTGTCAGTAAACAGCTGTAAGGAAGTCTGACAATAAGGAATTAAATAAATCACATTCACCCAGATGGGTAAGAGAGGTGAAGATGCAGAGACATGGACCCTGTAGTCCCACAGATACATGAGGTAGATTAAAATTGGAATGGGCACCTCGGGAGTGAGGGATCCCAGCCCCACATCAGACCACCCAGCTCAGGATTCCAGTGCCAGGAAGATAAGCCACCATAAATTTTGGCTACAAAAACCAGTGGTGGTTGGGGCAGAAGAAGAAACCGACTCATTCCCAGGCATCTCCTTTTAAAGGGCCCACAACAAACATAGGACTTAGGCAGACTCACTTCCTCTGGGCTCCTGTACCAGGGCAGCAGCGGAGGGCACCGGTGGCATACAGGGAAAAACTGAAATGTCTGGTATGAGGGTGAGTGCTGGGGGACAGCTTCCTCCTGGACAAAACCCCCAAGGCCAGGCAACAGCACTGTGCCCTTTCTGAGCCCTCCACCATACAGAGCAACAGAGCAGTGACACCAAATCCTCTCCATCAACCTGGTTCACATGGGTTGCCACCCTGGTGATTACCTAAGGCTCCTCCCCATACAACAACTTACTGGTGCCGTGCTACTAAGACAGGGAGTCAAAACAGCTTTATCTGATACATAGAAATAAACACAGGGAGGCTGCCAAATTGAGGAGACAAAGAAATATGGCCCAAATGAAAGAACAGAACAAAACTCCAGGAAAAGAGTTAAATGAAATGGAGATAAGCAATTTATCAGGTGCAGAGTCCAAAACACTGGTTATTAGGATGCTCAAGAAACTCACTGGATACTTCAACAGCATAGAAAAGATCCAGGCAGAAATGAAGGTTACACTAAGTAAAATAAAGAAAAATCAACAGGGAACCAACAGTGGAGAGGATGGAGCTGAGAATCAAATCAATAAGTGGGAACATAAGGAAGAAAAACAATATTCCATTAGACCAGCAACAAGAAAAAGAATTGAAAAAAAAAAACACCCAAACCCCAGAATAGGCTAAGAAGCCTCTACGGCAACTTTGAACGTACCAACATTCAGATCACAGGGGTGCCAGAAGGAGAAGAGAAAGAGTAAGAAATTAAAAACATATCTGAATAAAATGATGAAAGGAAACTTCCCTCATTTGGTGAAGGAAATAGACATGCAAATTCAGGAAGCACAGAGTCTCAAACAAGATGAACCCAAAGAGGACCACACCAAGACACATCACAATTAAAATGCCAAAGGTTAAAGATAAAGAGGGAACCTTAAAAACAGCAAGAGAAAAGCAGTTACCTACAAAGGAGTTCCCATAAAACTGTCAGCTGATTTCTCCAAAGAAACTTTGCAGGCAAGAAGGGACTGGCAAGAAGTCATCAAAGTGGTGAAAAGCAAGGACCTACAACCTAGATGACTCTATCCAGCAAGCTATCATTTAGAATGATAAATGGGCAGATAAAGTGTTTCCCAGACAAAGTAAAGCTAAAGGAGTTCATCATCACCAAGACATTATTATATGACATGCTGAAGGGAATTATAGAAGATCAAAACAATGAACACCAAAATGCCAATAAATTCACAACTATCAAAAATTGAATCTAAGAAAGGAACTAAGCAAACAAGCAGAACAGAAACAGAATCATAGATATGGAGAGCATTTGGAGGGGTATCAGTTGGGAGGGTGAAGAGGAAGAATGGGGGGAAAGGTGAGGGGATTAAGAAGTACAAATTGGTAGGTAGAGAATAGATGGGGGGATGCTAAGAACAATACAGGAAGTGGGTAGCCAAAGAATTTACGTGCATGACCCATTGACATGAAGTCATGGGGTGAATTGCCAGAGAGAATGAGAGGCATTGGGTAGAGAGGGACAACAGGGGGAAAAGTGGGACAGCTGTAATAACATCATCAATAAAATAGATTTAAAAAATTACAAACATTCTTCATGATGCCGAATGCAATGAACACTTTTCCTCCTGCCTGACTTCTCTGCCACATTCATTGCACTTGTCCGAGCTGCACGAACAGGCTGCTCTCTTGCCTTTTCAGACTCAGTGCTTGCCTGGCTTCCTGAACCCCAGGGATCACCCGGGTTGCCCATCCTCCAAATTTGGAGTTTCTCACGCTCAACCCTTACTTGCTTTCAAATCACATCTGTATACCAATAACTCCCAAATCTAGCCTCTCAGCTTTCTCTTCTGACCTCTCCCTTTTTGCAGTTAATGCAATTGGTGGGTTCTGAGCATGCCAACTGATCCCTGCATTAAAAAATTCTCCATTAGCCACTCCCCTCCTGGTTGTAGCAACTATGGATGATCATTGCTGAGACCCATTATTTCTTCATGAAGTACAAAGTGGCGATTTTCTAATTCTGTCATCTTTACTGCTTTCTTTGCTGGAAGTCTATACATATGGGCAGGCCTTCACCGGCTATTGGTTATCCTGCCATACACGCCAGGAGGCCACGGGATTGTCCTGGCCAGGGGTTTGGTGTCAGTGACTAAGGTGACAACAGCGATGATAAAGAGTAAGTGGTTTCAAAATATATTCTGGCATAAAACCCCAAGGATTTGCAGCCAATCAGATGTGGGGAGAAGAAATATGGGGGATTATGAGTGACCTCTAATTTTCTTGCTTGAATAAGCAACTGGTGGACGGAGGTGGAACCCACTGAGACAGGAAGGCGTTGTGGAATCCAACCCCAGGAGACAAAGAGAGACCTAAGGCAGCATTACGGAAAGAGGAAATAGAGGGCCTTCAGATCTGTTTGTTATAAAAGTATTTGACAGAAAATGAGTTTCCAAAACAAGAGATGAGCGTTCTAAAATTCTGGAAACACGGGAAAATATTTCTGCCAGTGTCCAACTGGTGTTATATTGGAAATGCTCCGTCTAGCAGCGTCGTCATGGTTCTGCACCGTCTGAGGCAGCACCAGCAGATGCCATTTCAGCCGCACACTCGTCCTCCTCAAGGTCAAGGGCCTGTCTGCACTTCCATTATGAACTCCAGTTTTCAGGGGTTAATAACTTGGCTGCTTTAAAGTCACAGCAGGCTGAAACTTATTAGGAATAAAACATTTTAAAAAATAGATTTAATGCATTTTGGTCAAGATCTAGTTAAAATATTGCCTATTTTTCTGAAATAAAGTTACCTACAGTTAATATATATCATGAGACAAATGTTTAATTGAGAACACTTTTTATTTTGAAGTTTCTGGAAGTAATTACAGTTTATAATAATGTCACATTTCCTATATATAGATTAGATGTGGATGGACCACAAACATTATACTGGAGCAATTGTACACATTGTAGCCAAATTTGGCGTATGCATTGCCATTTTAAATAAACCTTTTGCCAACAAAACTTGTAAATTTTTTTTGAGGAATAATAACATGTTAGATTTTATTTATTATTATTTTGCCAGGCAGAACATAGTCTCAAGGTTATTATTCAATTAAAAATTTAGCATGTATCATAGAAATGTTACCACGTATCATATCAATATACTTGAAACCTATATGATCTTATTAACCAATGTCTCTCCAATAAATATAACACATAAAGGAGGAAAAGTGGTATGCACTATATACCACTTTCTGTTTGGAACACAGTATTTTGATTTTTTTCTAGTAACAGAATTTCCTAATATATGGATGCCAAGTTCATCTAAGGCCTTTTGTAAAGTCAGTTCCGCTAGAAATTCTACCTGAAACACCTAAAACACCCTCCTCCCTTACGAGGAATAGGAGAAAACAGAGACAGGGTATAGAATAAAACCAATCCAATGCTACAGCCCACGTGCTAGTCCAGTCAGCTTTGACCTATGACCTGATCACAGCCACAGGAGCCGTTGCAGCCAAGGTCAGCACAGAAACCAGGCAGCCAGTCCCCAGGAACCAGCTTATGCTCAAAAAGTGCAATGTGGTGGTGCTAATTCTGTGCTTTTACACTGATAACAAAGAATCCTTACCTCACATTGTAAAAAACAAGCAAGCATAACAGAAACTATGTAGGGGTTAAATAACTAAATTTAAAAATTAAATTAAAAAAAACCCCAAAAGATAGCCCTGGCTGGTGTGGCTCAGTGGACTGAGTGCCGGCCTGTGAACCAAAGGGTTGCTGGTTTGGTTCCCAGTCTAGGGCTCGTGCCTGGGTTGCAGGTCAGGTCCCCAGTAGGCATCATGTGAGAGGCAACCACATATTGATGTTCCTCTCCCTCTTTCTCTCTCCCTTCCCCTCTCTCTAAAAACAAATAAATAAAATTTTTTAAAAAGAAATTTCTTTTTTGTTGAAATACAGCTTTGAAAAAATGGTTTCAAACCTGGTTTCAAACCAGGTTTTAACTCAACCTGGTTTGAGTTATTGGTTTTCTTTTCATGCTTGGTCACAATTTTTAGTTTCTCTTTTGCTCATGGAAATCCTGAAAACTAAGCCAATCATTCTGAAAGTCTTATCAACAGTTTTATTTGTCTTATGCCTTGTGAAATTTGTTTCTAGAGATTCAACGAAGCCCTCTTTGACAAGCTGTGCTCTGTGTGCTCAGGGAAAACTGATAGGTCCTGGGGAAGACTCATTGGTTACACACTGACTAGGGACCAGGTGGTGGGCGCGAACCCAGGCATCTGCCCTATGGGCAATTCTGTCGGTATCCCAAGTATTACCGAAATTTCTGTGCAGAGTAGAAAGCCAACCATCACACCACGGTGGCGTGAACTCTCTAAGGAACACTTGTTTTTAAGCCATCGTCCTTGCCGGAATGGCCACACTCTGCCTTCTGATGGAAGTTCCATTTGGTATACAAGGCTCGTTTGCTCAACAAACATGTACTGACTATGTACCTTGTGTGAGATAATGTTTTAGGCAATGGGTAGATGATGGTGAACGAGAGGCAAGATTCCTGCTCTCATTGTCTCATCTTGTAAGAAAGGCAAACAAGCAAACAGCTGGATTTCAGGTGACAAGAGAAAAGCCGAGTCTATGGTAGATGCCATGGGCAGTCAAGGCAAGCTGCTCAGAGGTGTCATTTGAACAGAGGACAAAAAAGGACATAGAGTGTAACTAACATGCAGTCTAAGGAAAGACTGCTCCGGGTGGATAGTACCTAAGGCGGGAGCTTGGCATGACTGAGAACTGGCAAGATCCAGTTCCACTCCTCCGCTTTCAGTGAGAAGCTCTGATCGTCCATGTAGCGGTGATTAAACTCCTAACAGCACTTGTCAATTTGGCATTGAACGCACGTCACATTATAACTAACAGTTAGCTTTGGAAAGCTGAGATGCTTACTTTCCACTTAAGACTCAGCTTCTTCAGGGCAGGGACCTAGTCCTGTGTTTCTTGATACACCCAAAGCCGAGACAGCGCTCACAGGAACGAGCAGTCAGTAAATGCTCACCGATGACCATGATCTGATGTCAGTGATCTGTGGCTGTCGTGCCTTCAGGGAGTCATTAGCATACAGACGGCACTCCAAAGTAAGGGGACTGGACCAGGTTGCCTAGGGAAAGAATAAGAATAGAAGGAAGGATATGTATACAATGGTCATGTCTTAACTGTGATTAAAATTCTCTTTGCATTTTGCTAGGTCTAGGATTCTTTGTTTCAAACATCTTTTCCTACAAACATGTACGCTAGTTTGAGAAATAGTCTCCTTGTATCATCTTCCTCCTTATCATTGCTTTAATCTGGTGTGACATATTTTTGGAACAGGTTTGGCAGTCTTCCATTTTTCTCACTGTTGTGTTTCAGATTCAATCGGGGCCTATTCTGGGCTTCAAAGGAGCTGCAGAACATTCGAAGTTCCCTCAAGTTTATCTACATGTCTCAGAATTCTCCACATATTTGGAAATCTTGCTCCTACAAAATGTAAAATCCTGTAGGTTGGCTGAAAGGATGGGATCCAGTTGCCCATCCCCACAAACAACTCAGGATACCAAATTTCATAGGAAAGGAAGGGGCAGATCTCAGGATCCTCTAGCACTTTCTCTAACCTTCTTGCCCTTAGAACTTCTGCAAGGAGTCCAGAAAGTAGGAACATATTTTAACGCCAAAAAGTATCAGAAGAGAACCAAGATACATAAATTCCAGTAAACATGCAATATTTATTGTGAGAGGGATAATAAATCAAGGGAAAAAAGGGGGTATGGAAATGGAGCCAGATATAAAGCTAAAAAAAAAAAAAGAGAACAAGTGAGTCATAAACTTGGCTCCGCTTTCTAACAGCCAAAGTGGGAAGAACCATCTACCCAATATACTGTGTCCATTAGCTGAAATAAACCAGTTATTCAGAGAACATAGATTTATTTTTGGAACTAACACCATAGAGGAGTTTCTCTCTGAGATCTCACAATCCAGGTAATGATAGGTAATATTGTTTTGCAATAAACCTGGGAGAAATTTTAAGGATGGAATTGTTATGAGGGCTGGCTTTCCAACCCTGCTTCAGCAGATGTAAGACTTAGTGAGAATGAGGTCTTTGCAGGCTACAGAATGTATACAAATTACTGATGTAGGCAATATTATTCCCTTACCATATCCCAGGTCTTTGAGGTTAGGGTTTGCTTATGTATTGCAGAACTTAATTGTTAGGTAGTTGGTGCTTATTCAGGAAGCCACTGAATGAGCGCCACAGGAAGGCTGTGCTCTCGGACAGCATGTAGGTGCCACCAGCTGGGCAGAGTTCATCTGCTTTTGCTCCTGTGTTGAGGGTCCCGTTTCATGAGCTCTGGCAGAAAGCAGGTACAGGCTTCAATGAGCACTTACCCCATGTGAGTCTTGGGAATGCGCACACTGCACATGATCATTGAGGTCTAGGAGACAGATCTCTGATGGGATTTGCTTCCACTACGGACTTTTCCCTTTTCATTCATGACAAGATAAAGAGCCTATTCCAGAGGTGGGCACTTACTTTTTTTAGAAATTAAAGCACACAAGGGCTAAAAATTTGTTTGGTAAGGAACTGAAAAACTTGTGTTCAGTTGTCAAGAACTAGCTAGGTAACCAGAGCTTAATTCAGTATCTGTGTGGCTTTTTCCTAGTACGTGCAGTGAAGATAATTCCCCGCCCTCCCTAACAACCTACGTCTGTCATTCCAGTATCTATCACATTATCGTTCATTTATTTTACTCCCTGGTTTATCCCCTTAACAAACCTACTTGGAGGCAGGAACTATGTTTCACAGGCTTGTATATTAAGTGCTTATCACAGTGACTGTTACAGTTGTGCACTCAGTAAAATGTTCATTGGCCCAGTGAGGTACAGATTCACAGTGCAGAATAAACATACGCACTGAGGAAAGCAGGTTGAACTTCACCATGTGCCTGTCCTGAGGGCTGGGGGCTCCTTCCCAAAGGGCCCTAAGCAGTCAGTCCCAGTTCCAGAGATTGGACAGCGCCTGGGGGTGGATGCATCTCACAGGCTCATCCTTCTACAATTGTCCTCACACCAAAGGGCTGGGGCTGCCTTTGGATTGTGGTATCACACATGGTTTGTCCTATACGGCCATGCTGACGCTGTCAAATAATGCCTGTAAAACCACCAAAATGTTGAGTATTTATTCTGTGGCCCATTTTATCTGTGCCCACCTGCTCCAGATTTGCATATCACCTCTCCCTAATCACCGCGGCTAGGAGACACTGAGACCTCACATTCCGGGCACTGTGTGCTTACATGTGCTACCTCCTCATTTCATTCCCATCGTTACCCCCAATTTGCAGCAGAACAGGCTGGTGTCCTGGGGCACGGGGTCCATCAGCAGCTGCCTGGCTCCAGCATCTGAGCTGTAACTACTGCATGATGCTGCCCCTGGGCTCATTTCTTCAGTAGCTGTATTCTTAGGATAATTGGGTTTGTCTTCTGGGAAACAGCAACTAGACGAATTTTAAAGCGTGCTTTTGCCTAATCATAAGATACCTTTTATGTCCATAGTTATCTAAGAGTTTAACTAGTCTTCCCTTTGGCTAATATGAACTGTATAGTACTCATATATTTAGAAAACATGTTAAAAATGGAATTTGGAAGATGCTTCCATTTACCCATAGAGCAAAGGGATTACTATAGCAACTTAAAAAAAAAAACAAACCCAAACCAAAAAACACCAGAAATCTACTCAAAATCATACACTAAAATTCTAAATAAACTTTTGACATTAACTATAGCTGACCCTCCCAAAAAAAGCTATTTTATTCCTCTAGCTTGAACCATACCTAGCTTATAGGACTGCGCTGTAAATGTAGGCTGTTAGCTCTTGTGACACTGAAGGTCACAGCTACTCGGGAATCTTGTAAAGTCCATGATTTTGTACATTTATGTTTCTATTCTTAATGGCAGATCTTCATATGTTCACCAAATGTTAGCAAATTGGTTATACTACTTAAGTATTTTACTATGTGTTGAATCAAGGAGCAGAAAACTCATTATAATAACAGAACTGTTGAGATGACTTCAGTTTTCGCACCTGTCTTACATTAGCATACAAAGGCTAATGGTATGAAAAACCATACTCAGCAGTTTGAATTACCCTGAAGCTATATTCTGAAGGGGCTTTAACAGTTCCCTTAAGAAGTGACCATATTAAAAAGGAAAACACATTATCACTCAGGCAACTACACAAGACTTCTTACTTCATCTGCAAAGACAGAAGGCCAATGTTTTATTTGCCACAGGGGTGAAGAGGGAAACATCAGTGAAATAAATTTGATAACATGACTCACACTTCTTCCCTAAATTCACAACTCTCACATTTGGCTGAGCTAAAAAAGAAAGGCACTTTAATTGAAGTAAGTAGGCCAAGTCACACAATCCACTCAAATGAGAGAGTTCAAGAGACTGAGGGAATTTTTGCAGATGGGAAAATATTTCCTTTAATTTAGTGAGCTTAAATAATTTACCCATAGTGATGAATAAGCCCTTGAGCCAGATTCTAAAACATTCTCTGCCTGTACCATAAAATTTCACCAAAATGTAGTATGGACTGTACAGAAAACAGTTTCTTGGTTAAAGGTTAATAGTAAAGACAAGAATAAAACTAATGTATATCACTTCACTTTCGGGTATTTTTCTCCCAGACGTACCCTCTACATGTCTTAGGTAGGCTGTACAATTAGGTATGGTTTATTTTACGTAATGGTGTGTTCAACTTTAGCACCCTATGGAAGTAGTAAGTGTAATGAGAACAGTTAGGAATGTAAACTATTTCCTCCCTCTCAAGGCTTGTAGGAAAGTTTAGTTGAATTATGAGGAGGAAGTGCTATAGCAGAGAGGCAACTGGGAAGGGAGTTCAGAGAAAGAAAGAACAGGGCTCTGGAGAGCTTCAAGTCGTACTGGAGATGTATGGTGTCTAACTAAACTTTTACCCTTCTCCCTGGCTTCAAGCTTAGATAAGGTGTAAAGTGTCAGGGCTGTGCATGGAAGCTTCATAAATGGTCATTTTTTTCCGTGAAACTAAAAAAGAAATACAAGTGCTTGGTACCACATGCTTCTGAGGCTTCAAAGCCTATTAATAAACACTTTGCATTGCTGGGGGCATAGTTTAAATAACTGTCGCCAGAAGAATCTTCTCCAAGTGAAAGTGAAGTCACTCTCCCTCCCCAAGAGCCCTGAGTGAAAAGGCACACAGAAGATAATGCCCCCTACTTGCTGGCCGGGTCTCCCTGTGTCTCCTGTGACCCCCCTCCGCCTCTAGCTCGCAGCTCTGGCCGCCGGGGGCAGTCGCTGGCCGAGAAGGAAATGCCCATCCTCCATGGTATAGTCTTTGGTCTTCTCCTCCTGGTCGCCCACTTTGTAGCGCAGCTGCGCGCGTAGGAGCCGGTGGTTGTCCTGGGCGGGCAGCAGCTTGATCTCCCCGGAAATGTCCGTATCTTGCTCTACTTGCACGGGCTCGTTCAGGTACAGCACGGCTTGCTTCCAGTGCGTGGCCGGCTGAAAGGGGGAGGTGGACAGCACCAGGGGTTTCTCCGAGTCTCCTCTGGGGAAGGTCACCTGAAACCAGATGGCAAAGCCGTGCAGGGGCGCCGAGCCGTAGCAGCTGAAGCGGAAGCCCCCACCAACCCCGGCCTCCAGCTCCTGCTCTAGGCCGGCGCGGGCCAGTTCCAGCTGAGCGAAGCACTGAGGTCGGGCCAGCACATCTTCGCCACACAGGTCCTGCACCAGGATGTCCGAGTGGCCCATGATGCAGCGCGTGGCGAAGCCCTCCAGGCAACTCATGTCCACACCGTACACCTGCTTCACCTGGCTCCAGAAGCTCACACGCAGGTCCACAGTATGGTCGTTGATGGGCGCCACAAAAAGCTCGGCGGAAGACGGCAGGAGAAGCCCGCCCTCCTTCAGCCACTTAGTCCTCGCGTGGAGCACGGAACTCAGCATGGACTCGTGCAGGAGCCCGTAGCCCATCCACTCGCTCACGATGACATCCACCTGCTCGGGCAGCTCCACCGTTTCCACCGGCCCGGGTAGGATGTGCACGCGGTCCTCCAGGCGGTTGAGCCGCACCACCTCCTGGGCCTGTTGCCAGATGGAGCTGGCCTCCACCGCGTACACGCGCCGGGCCCCGGCCTGGGCACAGAAGATGCTGAGAATGCCGGTGCCCGCACCCACGTCCAGCACCGTCTTGTCCTGCAGCGCTGCCCAGTTCCGCATGATGCCCAGGCGGTAGGCATCCGTGCGGACGCGGTCCGAAATCATTTCCTCGTGCACCGATATGTCCGAGTAGCACTCGTAGTATAACTGGTCCCGCTCCCGCCTAGTCCTCCGGGGTCGCAGCAGGGCCGTCTCCCGCTGTCCGCCATCTTCTCTCTCAGTTGCCCCCCCTCCTTCGCCGCCGCCGCCCCCCGACTCAAGCTTTCTCCTCTTGAGCGACATCTTGGCGGCTCCGGCGGACTCCCGGCAGACGTTGCGCGGCGCGGGGCGAGCGCCAGGAAGCGGGGTCTTCTGGGATTTGTAGTGCGCGCTCGCTCTTCTCGCTTCCTGCGGTCTCGCTCGCCAGTGCCCGTGGGCTGCCTCCGACTTCGGCTCTACCCTCTCGGGCCTTTAGCGTCTCGGAAAACGTTCGCACCCGGAGTAGCCACAGTCGCGGGTTCTTTACATTCCCCTACCTTCCTTAGCCCTCAAATCTCTTTCGCTTTTACTTCCTTCCCCAAGTGGACACGCCCACTCAAACCCAAGTTTAATCACCTGGGCGGCGCCCTTTCCCCTTTTGCACTTTTACCTGGGCTGTTGGAACTCTTGCAAGTCTCCAGGAGCGAGATTTAGAAATTGCAACACACGTTTTTCTTTTTTTAGGGCGTGGGGTTAGGGCGCAAGGCAGGTGTAAGTGGAACAAGACAAAAACCTAACAAGGTTAAACCCTGGTTCTCATTAGGAGGAGAGCGCAAATTAATTGAATGATTAGGGCCGGTGATATGACTTCTGTTTTCAATAACCCATTCCCCCCCTCCCCCCCCCACTGCAGCAACAAGGAAATCTTTGCCTTGCAAGAATTGTGTTCTTTGGTCTCTTTTTTAGAAGTCTAGTTACTTGGCGCTGAGTCCTGCCCTGTTAATTCTGTGGTTCATTCAAGAGTTAAAATACCATATGATCTCACCTTTAACAGGAACCTAAACAACAAAACAAACAAGCAAAGTATGACCAAAGACACTGAAATACAGAACAGGCTGACAGGGACCAGAGGGGAGAGGGGAGAGAATCACAGGGGAAAAAGGGAAGGATTCACAGGAACAAGTATAAAGGACACATAGACAAAAACTAAGATTGGGGGGGCGTGGAATGGGAGGGAGGTGGGGAGGGTTGGGAGTATAAGACAGAAAACTGTACTTGAACAATAATTAAATAAATCTAGAAAAAAAAGAGTTAAAAGCTTGGAAGGGTCCAGTGTTGTGCCTTGAAACCCATCGCCAGCTGTAGTCTGGTTGCAAGTTAACCCCGGGCCCCCCAATAATAGTGCCTTGTGACCACCTTCTACTGCTACTCCTCAGTTTTTCTTGTGTCTGGACAAGGTTGTGACTACCCGCTTCCTCTTTTTCTTCCAGTTACCATCAGCTGTTAATTTCTCACATCTTTGTTGTTCATTATAGAAGTAAAGTATATTTTAAAATATGTGTGATGTCTGAGTGTCTGTTCTTAAGGAGGTGAAAATAACAGTTTCAGCTGCTAGAATAATCACATAGAAGAAAATTGACTGTTATTTTCCTAGTCAAGAACTATGTGTGTTCAGCCAGAGGGCCTGCATTCATTATCTGGGGGCAAAGTTCCTTTCCCTCATTCTCACGATTAATCCGTTATTTAATGGAATAGTTTTATTGACCGGGCATCCTCAGCCGTACTTCTAAGGGCTCTCGCTTCTGGCTGCTCGTTACAACTCTTTGTGGAGTTTTAAAAAAAAACAAAAACCCTGCACCTATGTCCCACCTGAAACTAAATCAGAACCACTCTGGTAGAAGGGGGAGGAGACACGTAGGTTTTTAAAGCTTCTAAAGATTGGCATGTGCATCCAGAGAGACAACTGTTTTATATTAACATGACTGTAGTTAAATTTTGCTTCCTTATTTTCACTGGGTAAATTATCTTTTTTTTTTTTCTTCATGGCCTGGGCTCAACTAATTAAGGCCAAACCTCTTCAGAGCGGTTCCTCTTTCTTTCTGCCTGGGTTCATGTCCTGTTTGAAGAAAACAGAGGCTCAGAGTAGGACATGAGGTTCCCACTGTAAACATGGCCACTTCAACGTACTCCTTCTAGGCCCTTCCTTAGTCTGTACTTTTTCCATTGTTTCCTTCTTCAAAATCTTTTCCTTCCCTTTTAAATCTTCATTCTCCTACCCAATTTTCAATTCACTTACTCAGGGTCTCTTTATAGAAAATTCTGAATATAAGTTTTGTTGATTCTACCTCCAGTACATCTGAGTCATCTTTTCTCCATCTCCACTGCCAACGCCCAAGTCTAACCATCGATTTGGGCTTCGAATCATACCCCTGTCTGATCACTCTCCACGCGGTTATGAGAATGAACTTGTAAACATCCAAACCATGCCGTTCTTCAGTAACTTCCCATTCCAGTTATACCCACGGTGCTGAAGCTTCAAGTAACTTTCTGTCTCATACTATTATTTCCAGCTCCTCCCTGGTCTCGAGACAGACTGGCCTTCCCTAACAGCCCCCCTTCCCTGTCTCAGGTCCTCACTGACACTCTCTCAGGGCCTGGGACATTGTTTTTCTCCCTAGCACCTCACTTCAGCAGCTCCTTCTCATCCATCAGGACTCAACTGAAATATTAACGTCCTAAGAAACTCCTTCCCTGGCACCTTTAAATACTATTTTCTAATCCAAGATACTTTTTAATCATAGCTTTACTATTATCTGAGTATGCTTACTTGCTTGTTTTCTGTAAAAGAAAAGCTGCGAGAGCCCAGCACACAGAAAGTGCCCAGTAGACTTCAGGGAAGACTATTGTGGAAACAAGTTGTTACCTGCAGGAGAAGGAGAGGAGACTGGCTTTTTGTGGTTCTGTGTGACAATTTAACTCCAGTAAACTCCAAATCCAGATACAGATGCTCCCAGGTGGAAGAGCTGTTTCATTTGCAAACAGTCCTAATAACCTTTTCAGGTAGAATAATGGTAAGCCCTAAATATTATATTTCCAGATATCATGGCATGGTCCCTTTCTGCACTTTGGGTTGATGTAGGGAGAGATTTCTTTACTCATCTTTTCTACTACACCGAATTGTTTTAAGTAGGAAGGGGACCTAAGTTATAGCTGTTTTCTAACCATGGGGCTCAGGGACAACCCCCTTACCCCTAGTCCCTCCACCATGGGAGGAGATGCAGAGCTGTGCTGGCAGAACCTTTGCCATATGTTTGCGATTTGGTGGTCTGCTCGCCATATCTAGTCAATGCCCAGACCTCATATTTTCAAACAAATGGGCCTTGAACTTGATTTAGTACATCTTTGTCAACATTAAAAAAATAGAATAGAAAATACTAAATTCATAAAACAAGTAGAGATGAGTATTATTTCACAAAACTTGCTTCAGTTAAGTACAGTAGGTATGTATTTCTTGCTACAGGTTACAGTGAAAACTTTGAAAACCACAGTCTACTCTTCTTCAAAAGTGCTGTGAACTTGGACATTTTCGTGCCTTTGCTCCTTTGTCTTCTCTCTCATCCTTTTAGATGGTGCTCAACTGTTACCATTTATTTGGAGCTCTTTCAACCAGTCTGTGGCCTGATAATACTTATATATAACTTCTTTTCCATTTATCCCATTGTTCCAGAACTATACATATATATAGCTGGTTTCTCCATGTCAGTTGGTGGGGATTAGAACACCAAGACTTTATATTTTTCACCTTTATATAGGGAATCTAATATGTTGGGCTGGAACCGGAGTCATTGCCATGTGCCAAATCGCAGGTGCTGAGGACACACAGGATCACAGCTGTATTTTCTGTGGCTAGGGGGCCGTGATTGTGTTTATCTACCTGTGTTTATTCAATCTTTCATTTAGTCAGTGAACATTCAGGACTTCTCATCTGTGCTGAAGAGTCTAGAACTAGGGGACACACCAAGAAGTGGAAAGACAAAAATTCATGTTTCCAGGAGCTTTTATTTTTGTGTTCATGTTATGTTATCTATAAGCAAATTATTACACTTAAGCAAAATATCATACCACTTTGAACTCTCCAATTTCTTTTCTGTGTTATTTTAGCTTGGATTAACTGGTGTGATGTCCTCTCACAAATACTTATTTCTAATTCTTTTTTTGTTTGTTTCTAATTTGAAGTTTTATTGTTTAAGAAAGTATTTTAAAGCCTTGGATAAGAGGGTTGTACCTTCAGGATTTCAGGAATTCACTGTAATTCTAAAGTGTGTATTGAGGAATGGCAAAACAGCAATGATATAAAAATGTTATAAAGCCCTGTTTGATATGAATACACATTTAAAAATGTAGTTCTTACCATTCTGCAGTTTACTGAAAGTTGTCAGCATAGAAAGAGGCAGTTCTGTGGAAAGAAACCCTCTACAGAAAAAAAAGATAAAAAGTGATTTTTTTTGGAACATCAAACATAAAAAGCCTAGGTGTATGTCATTCTCTTGATGTGTATTATTTATTTATTGTATTTAAAATTTTTTTATTTATTGGTTTTAGAGAGAGAGAGGAAGGGAGAGAGAGAAACATTAATTTGTTGTTCTGCTTATTCATGCATTCATTGGTTGATTCTTGCATGTGTCCTGACCGGGTATTGAACCCACAACCTTGGCATATCAGGATGATGCTCTAACCAACTGAGCTACCTGGCCACGGCGGTAGTGTTTTTTAGATTCATGGTGTATAGCACAGCTATTAAGCCTAATATTAAAATAGGTGAATGGCAAATTTGTAGTTCCTTTATGGTATTATTCTGAGTAGTTGTAATTCTTTTAAATATGTTTGTATTGAGTTGTTTTCATAGGGACAACAGGAGCACTATGAACTTAGTCCATACTTATCAACTCAGTCTAAACTTATTGAGCCCTCTTGGAATATTGAATATGGCATTTTAACAATTTCAAATATTAATATAGGCTAAGACATTTTAACAACTTCCACTATAAGTCAGGCTGCTATCATGAAAACAGTACAGGAAAAAAAAAAAAGAATGTAAACTGTAATCTGGGAGAAAGTCATGTATTGGTGCATCTGTGGAAATAGGCCTTTGCTCATGGGCCCCAGGAGTAATATGAGTCAGGCAGCTTAATCAAAATCAGGTTTTAAGCCTTATAAATATAACTCAATAAGATCTTTTCTTTCTCTCTTCTTTTGTGGAAACCTATAATATGAAAGGAGGGTAATCATTTTCTTAAATCAGTCACTTCATGTCTTATAGTATTCTGCGATTGGGAGCATTTGAAGTGCATAGAAGTAAATATAGTCATGGTAGTTCTGTGGTTCTGAAAATGTGACTTGTAGACCAACAGCGTCAGCCTTCCCTGGGAAACTGTTAGGATTATACAAGCATGAATCCCTCCATATCTAATATAGAAGAATCCACCTGCATCTAATGAATTAGAACCTGGGTCGGGGCTCCATGGCTCTTGTTCTAATGGCTCTCTGGTGGTCTCGGGCCCACTG